AGTGGGAAAGTGTATGCAGAGCCTAGAGCCAGCCATAATGAATGCCAACTACACTCAAAACATTTTAATTCTTCTCTACACACACTACTGCTTGTCTATTTATTATGTATGATTGTTTCATCTCTCTTGAAACAGAAGCTGCAAGAGATAATCAGTAGACAGGTGGAGATGGAAAGACTGAATGGTTACCTAACTTTAATGTAATGCTCACAACCCAGTGTTACCTTAAAGCGCTGTTTCCAAATCAGGATTACTCATCTGTTGCCCACAGGCACACCCCAAAAGCCTGCCAGTGAGACGACAAGTCCTTTTCCCTTCTCTAGCAGCAGAAAGAGCAAGCTCCGATGAGGCTGCTTTACTGCAGGCTGACTTCACAAAAAGCCAAACTTCATAAAAAGGAGTTCTAAAGGAGAATCCATGTTTTGTGCAAAGATGTAAATCTGACATCAACAAAGTCTCAAGATGAGCTTCTGGGACAGTCCTTGGGCACTGTATTGTACTAGTCTACCATTTATGAAACTGAGACCTGAGACAGAAAATCCTGTTTAGCTACCCCAGCCAGTGAGAATGGAGAAAGCGGTGCAATGCCAGCATTTAGCTTAGTTGAAGAGCTGTTCCGCAGGAGAGGAAGGTTCCTGCCATTTAGCCTCTACAGAAAAAAACTCCATGGGAGCAGGGCCCTAAGGGTGACCAGAGGAAATCTTTTGTCTAACCTTTTGTTTCAAAGCTCTTAGAGAAAGAGACTTGGATGTGGCACCTGGTTGCCTCTTATCTGCTCAGTTAGACATTTTACAGCTTGCTTTTCTATGAGTTGAATTTGCTCCTGAATCCATCCATTTTTTTAAACATCCAAAAATACTGAGGCAAGAAGTTTCACAGCTTAACCAAAAGGTTAGCAAAGGAATATGTGCTTCTGCTTTCAAGCTGTCACTTAGTAAGAAGATGTCCCTTGTTCCCGTAATGAAAGGGACAGTGAACAACAAAACCCTATTCAGCACCTCCACAACACGCATGATTTTTATAGGCCACTATCATATTCCCCCTCTATCTTCCCTGTGTCAGCCTGGAGTGTCTGCCATTCCGCATACAGGATCCATTTCATGCCCTTGATCCTCTTTGTTGCTCCCTCTGAATATCTGCAGCTGTGCTCTATCTTTCTGAGCCTGAGGGGCATCAGAACTGCAGATGCCGCGTGCCTGAAGCAGTGAAAGGCACCTCAATCCCCACCATTCTGTACAAAACATCTGGATTGTTCTTCTTATGTAAATCACTTTACATTCCATATGCCATTTTATTGCCTGGTCATTCCACGTCATAAGTTCCTCCCACAATTAACAACAGCTGGCCCTTGTCTTTCCTACCCAAGATAACCTAGTATCACCAGCACATGCTGTCACCTCAGTATTCACTTCCCTTCAAAGGTCTTTTCTGACAGATGAACAGGAAGGTTCCAGCACTAATCCCCGTGACACTGTCACTAGTGACTTCCTTGTACTGTAACTTATCACTATCTATCACCTACCCTTATTTTCACCTCTACCAGCCTTGCAAAGGATCTTAACAAATACCTGTCAGAAGTACAAGCAGACTACAGCAATCTACCCTGTCTACTTGCTTATTATCTCCTTCTAAAGACTCTCAACATGTTGATTCCTTTCCCTAAGTATCGTGTTCATCTGCTTACAGTTTCTATGGATTTTACTGTTGCACACCAAGTTTACCTTTCTGAAATCCTTATTTTGCTAAAAATACAATGATAGCTACACATTTCACACCTTTCCATCATCTGCTACCAAATCAGTCTTAAAGAAAATACATTATAACAATGAGTAATTCAAGTATTTAACCCTTTAGTACTTCTAGAGTTCTTAGGTGAGGCATGTGGTCCTGGCAACACATAATGATTCACACTGTCAGCTTCTTCTGCAATCTCTGCTACTGACATGGTATTGAGATAATCATCTCACACACTGCCAGGAAAGAAAGCTTTCAGCATAGAAATTTCTCAAAGCTTGCTTCGCTTTGCAAAATATTTTTCTGCTCTAGCCTCATCTTCTCTGAGTGTTCTTTGTATACTCAGACCATTTAGTAGCCTCACAGACTATTTCTTACATGAAGTCTTGTTCCAGGAACAAGTTGCCCAAAAGAGTGACTAAGAGAAAGACAGTACTCCTGTCTTTGTAATACCTTCAAAGGCCCTGAACTGACACCAGAGGATTCCAAGCAAAGCCACGTTTTGCTGTTGATTTGAAGAGCAAGCCAGAAGCATATTCCAGTGGAAACAAGCTGGCTCTTTTTATGGTGGCAGCTTAAGTTTGTTTGGTTTTGCCTGCTAGTACATTGATTTAAACGTGATAAAACCCAATCCAGAGAATTATAATAAAATAAAAAAGTACAATGAGAATCTTATCAGATCCTCTGACAGACCTCAAGTACCCTCTCTACTAACTGAACACACAACCCCCATATCTGAGTAATAATTTCATATTGTTTCAGGCTGCATTTGTGTGTCAAATTGTTTTTAAAGGTTGAGTTTGTTTTTCCTAAAGAGCTTGAATACCAATTAGCACGCAGCATAAATATCACTCAGCTTGAAAATAGCATCATTAAATGCAAGAAGCATCGAGGAAACTGGAACCGCAATTTTTCCCAATCCCACAGCCTGAGTAACCTTAAACTTGGGTTCACAAGAGATCCACCAGATTAATTGGGGAGATCTATTTTCTGATACTGAGTTAAGAACAAGGCTCTATTTTGAGTTTAGAGCTGTTTACTACTGCTGATATTTAATCCTCTGGTCTCTTGGGAAAGGAGAAAGAGTAAATGGAAATGCATCTTCAAGCATCACCAGGACAGGTTTATTATGTGGGAAGAACTGGTAGCAAGTCCAGCCTATAAAACAGATGACGAAAGGAGTAAAATTTGCCAGAAGGTGCCATGCTTGTGCTGCTGTGTAGCACTGCTGGCAATGAAGACTGTCTGGGAAGTTCCTCTTTTTGCGGCAATCAATACTGAGACAGAACTGATAAATATATACATAGTGCTGTCTGATTAAACACGTCAATTTAAGCTTTTATTTTTAATTTTCCCATTTAATATGTTAAATACAAACATTTATTTCAGGGTTTGGTGGTGGGTTTTTTTGTTGATCTTGTTGGTGGGGTGTAGGGTTTTTTGGTTTTTTTCTTTTTAATTCAAAATACGAGGGGTCTTGTTAATCTTTTCCCAGCTTCTTGCCCTTTTCAAACCTGAAACTTTCACACAGGTCTCCAGCTCTGGGAAAGTTACAGACTAGCAAAGGAAAAAACCAACAGCTTTCCCTTTTGTGCCTTTCTAAAACACGTATATAAGCAATTTAAGCAGCTTTTTTTTACAGCAAAATAAGATAAAAATTAAACCTAAATTTTGATTTAATTTTCTGTTCAGAGAGTTGATGTAGAAAACATTTTTCACAGTTTTGCTTTTCCTGTTTTTCTTTTGGCCAGAAAGCTGTTTGTTCTAAAAGTTAACTGTGTATCCAGCAACATGTTACCAGCAAAAGGGACTCTGGAATGGAAATATAAATTAGAAATACTGATATTCTCCCCACTTCCTCTCTATGACTTCTATAGTAAAAACTTCACTCAGTATTACAATCATTACACATTAATATTTAGAATACTGCATTGTTACCAAAATCTTCAAATATATGCTTCTACAATTAATTTGTAATGCCAATATCTTTTAATGTACTAGACATGTATTTATCTCTGAATATCTCTGATGTAATTTAGCTGAAGTTAATCACACATAAGAAATCTAAGCAGAGCTGAGGGAATCAGAACTTCCTTTAATGGGACAGCCTACAATTGTAACATCTCTGTTCCCTCATTGAAATTATTCCATAATTTGCTACAAAATAATTTTCAATCCTGAAAATTGTTTTAAAGCAAGAAAACAGAATGCTAGAACCTTATCTTCATAGAACTCCTACAGACAACAAAATACACTTCAAAAAGAACAATCGTAAAAGCCAACACAATCCCACAGAATGTCTGTGTTTCAACAAAAAGACATTTTTTGAAGAACATTCAGTGGCACACTTCCAAACAGATTTCACTGCACAAACTGATGTATACTTCGACACTGATAGCAACACATACAGTCGCATTCTGAATACCTCTTTTTAACCTCAGGGCAATGTTGCCTCATGTTATACACCATAAGAGCAGTGACAGCAAAATTTTAGCTCACAAAGAGTGCAAGTGTATTTTCCAGTCTGGATTCTAAAGGGTAATGGGAAAGACTGTGATAAAATACAGAGGGGAAAAAATTTAGCTGACAAACTAGAGGTATCTTTTTACTCTACAGAGCTTCTAGCAACTCTGTCCACACGGAACAGTGCATTTATTAATTGTTTCTCTATAAGAATTCCTGCAGAACATGCTCTGGTAAGGATGCTGGGCAATTCCAAGAACAGTTGTTACTCAAAGTGCTATGTCAGAAACTTTGAAAAGAAATAGCAGGGAAATCCTTTAAAAACACAACGGTCTGGTCACTATTTTCTGACATCTCTGCAGGAAAAGCTAAATGTTTTGTAATTATGGACAAATGTGACATTCAGCTCTGTATTAATGAGCCTATAAAGAGCAGACTGGAAGAGACCTACTGCTTGCTAAGTTAGTTTTAGAGGATAAGACCTCTCTACAGACACAGAGATGTACCTCTACAGTGAAAGAGACTCTTCAAAGCAGCCCCTTCAAGAAAGTGTTCCATTATATTTAATACAGATACCTAAAACTCAGCATTAACAACCTTTTATTTTAGCAAAACCCTTGTTCAATTAAGCATCAAGTTCACTCTGAAGGAGACACTTGATGATGACTGCAATGTCTCAGAATGCTTCTGAACCATCAAAAGGATGCAAAGCCACCTTCTTCACCATTAGGGAAAACCTTTACTTGTAACTTTACCTTTCTACAACATCCTCTCCATTCCAGCAGGTTGAGCTGTCTCTCATCACCAGGTCTCCATCACACAGCCGTTCTGCTATAGAGGCATAAAAGGTGCGGGATCGCTTCATGTAATTGATGAACTCTCTGTAAGGTAGGAAGAACACGTTTAACAACAGAACAGTACGCTTATGGTTTAAGCCCCCTGTCAGCTCTCCACAAGGTTAAGAGTTTAGAAAACCCTTACAGAAATTAAGTCATCCAAGTAAATTTCTATTTCTAGTGTATTTCTCATCCAGTCTTACCCAGTCCAGTGTTACTAAACACAATTACATACAAAGGATGGTTTTAATAAATTACGTTAACACATCTCACACAATATTTGAAAAAAGTCTACACCTACTATCTCTGTATATACAAATTAAAAACTAATGAGAAAACATCATCAAAGGAGTGGGCTTTTTTTCTGTTAAGTGACTATTTCATGTGCACATGTCTGAGATCAATTAAGAACACTGTCAACTGTCCACTCCTGGGTGGAAAAGGCTTCCTAAAGCTTATATCACACCACAAAACCAGAAATACACTGTAAATACTCCTCACATGCAACAACAGTAAAGTCATCTCCTTGAGATGTGGTGGGGTCAATTCCTCCCCATCATCACTATCTACATCACATCCTTATTAGAAAGAAATTTCTCTCTCATCATGTCTGGCACCTCACACCTGTTAAGAGGAGGCTGTGCCTGCTGCTCTGGCAAATAACCAAAACTCCTGGCCAGTACAAACAGCCCTTTTCTGATCATTTGTGTATGGAAAAATGCCTTGTGGGCAAACCACTGCATCTTTTATAACATAATTATATCTAGAATATATGTCTGGCTGAGGTAGCCATAAAAATAAACTGTAGCAAAACAAGCGTTAATTCAGCACACGACTGAAAGTATTTCAGAATGAGAAATTACCCTATCTCCACAGCTTTAGAAGCTCCTGTTTGGTATAAGATGTTAAAGATACTGAGAACAAAAACCGAGCTAGAGCTATCACACAGCTCTCTGCTTGTCTCAGAAGTCAAGTCCCTCACCAGCCCCACGGGGAAGGCCAAAGGACTCATTCTGGTTTATAATGTTTCTGCCTGCTGGGCTGTAAGGGGACACTGCACTGAAAGTACCTGTGGATACAGCTGGATGGAGCTTTGCACAGAAGCGGTCAGGATTTATTATTATTTTGGGAGCAACAGGTGCTTTAAACAATATCCAAGTCCACTGCTAGGTGTCTACCCCGGCAAGGTTTAGGCAGTGGTCATCTCTCCCCACAGCTGTCTTTATGCTTTCTCAAAGGCGTTTAACCATCTAATTTATCTTATGTGTGGCAAAATCCTGCTCAAGACAAATTAGTCATCAGATGATCCTACGGAACAAACTTCACCCTAGCAGTGCAGGAAAGCTGTCATTTTAAGCAAAGAATCAGGAATCTGGCAGCTCACAATGAGGGAATCGGTCTTTCTATCTCTTGACCACTAACTGATGATTATGAGCTCTAAGCATTTACACAGTAAAAGACAGAACAGCCCAAGAGTAACAATTACAAAAGATGACACAGATGCTAAAGATTTTGCAGGTTCTAAAATGGAGTTTTCTTTGAAGAAGGAAAAGAGCATCCTTTTAAGAGTCTAAAGCTTCTCCTAGCTTACCCCAAGAGGCTTAAACTCCTTTGCATTTTCAGCAGAGTGGGGCTCTGGCATTTCAAAGTAGCATCTTAGCAAAAGTAGAATTCAGTTGCCAGCTCTTAATCTTTACAAGTGAAAATAGTTACTTTTCATCACTAGGTAGAAAATGTACAGTTTCCCAGTGCACTACAGTATAAAAGCAGTAATCGAAAGTATGCCAATTCCTAGATTACAGCTGAAACAGCAGCTTACAATGGAGATGAGCTAAGCGTAGAGACAACAAAGTATGTCATCTTGTTTTCATTCTTACCGAGAGATTTTTTTCAAACTTCTTGATTTGTCATTCTTTGAAGCTTTCAGAGGCAGAGAACTGGAATAGGCCGGGGAGAGTGAGCATCAGTCAGGAGAGGTTGGGGAGTAGGGGAGAAGCAGGAATTCAGGCAAATGAGGAAAATAAATGAGAAACAAAAGAGAAAAGTAAAAATTATTTGAAAGAAAGGTCATTGAGCACATGCATAAGATAATATAAGAAATCAAATAAGGAGGAAAATTGTCATGAGATTTTTCTGAAGTATAGATGCAATTAAAAATGTCAATGCAATACTGAAAAAAAAAAAAAAAACCCAAACAACTGAGATTGTTTCTCCCAATCATTTTCAAATAAAAGCACAATTACGAATGCAGCACATACAGCAAAAAAAGCTGAAAATAAATCCAGTGGTACTTAAATTAACTATAACTGATACCAAATGCAAGAGTTGTAAATATATGAAGCTATACAAGAAAACAATGGCAAACAGTTTAGAGTGAGAACCATGGGAAGGGGGATATGAACAAGTAGCATTCATTTTCTGGTACAATGGGCAATTTGCTGTCTATTAATAAATGTAAATACAGATATTTTTTGCTGTTCAGTTCTGGTCAGATTGCACCACTGAAAACAAAAAAAAAAAAAAAACCCAAAACCAACAACTTTTCAAAATAGCAGAGACAGGCTTTAAGGTTATATTGGACAAAAAACTGTAGAAATTACCCTAGTAGCTACTTAGTGCAAATGCATTTTGTGGCACCATTATCCTGATGTCCCTTAATTAATATTAACATCATGATGCAATTTTGCACTTAAATTATTTGGTACCACATTCTGCTCTTTCCTACACCCGTACTCTCGTGTATCAAGTAATGGCAACAGCTGGAGCAATGCATCCCTGCAAACAGGTTCAATGTACTTGCAAATCCAGTTAACTCTTACTAGAGAGAGCAAGCATCGCCTTCAGCAGCTCTGAGGACACCCAGACGACGGCGGCTTTGCCATCGTACTTGCTGGCAGATAACAGCAGGGGTGGCCACAGGAGAGGATAAACCTGCACTGATCACCAGGTGAGTGTCACCTGCCATGACTGGAGCAGTGATTCCAACAGAGCCAGTCAAAGAAGGAAATGAGAATTTGTAACATGGAAAATCTGGACTTGCTGAAACTTGTGTTTTAGCAAGTCAGTCAGAAATGTCTGATTTGTTTCCACAGTAAGTTAATTTGCATCTGGCATTAATAACCTGTTTTGTACTTTAATACTAAAATTTTAATAAAATCATGTGATGCCTGACCCAATAAATAGTTAATTTTAAATAAAAGATGCCATCAACTTCATTCTCAAAGAAACTAATTTTTTTTTTCTTATTTTAACATGTATAAAAGATCTGTAAGTTCACAGTAGAACAAAGAAATCCCAACAATATATAATTTCAAAGCCTGCCTCCTCCAATTAGGGACCTAATATCAGGCTAGAGTTCTTTGTTAAATGTAACGTTTTCATATACTGATCTATAACCAGTCTACATTTAGTAGCTTGAAATATTACATGCAGCAGACATGCTAAAAGGCAGGTATTCAACTTTGCTAGGAGTCCAGGCCCTGACCAGAATATTCCTTTGTGCTGAACTCAGCAATAACATTCCAATTTACTGATTGAGGTTCTGTACATGCTATGTACATTCCCTGTACCATCATATGGTTTCAATTTTCTTGTCATCTCTACTACATGTTATAGTAACCTCCACATTAAAAAATGACTACAGCAGCAATCCTGCCAGTTTCAGTTAACCCCTGAATGACTGTGGAATGCAAAATAACCCCAACAACAACAACACAAACAAACAAACAAACAAAAAACAAAACAAACAAAAAACCCCCCAAAAAACCCCAACAAAAAAAACCAAAAAACCCCACAAAACAAATCTATTTTTTTCAGTTTAATCAAAGGAAAAGGTTTCCTACAAGACCATGCAACATTTATTCAAGTTTTAGCTTCTGACACTATTGTCCCTGACACTGTTGCATAACAAAAATATGCAGGAATGGAATGCAGGGATAAATCAAGAAAGATGGGAAATCTCCCAGGAACCCATGAGAGCAAGAGGAGCAGAAAAGGGTTCAACTACTGCAAAAGAGGATCCAGTTGCTATGTGAATTCAGGGACCATGCAGGACCATGCTGTGTAGAACAGTAGAGGGTGAGAAGGACTGCTTCCAGCCAGACTCAAAACACATAGACCCAGAAGAAAGGCAGAGACACCATCTTAAGAGTCTCATTTCTCAACTGCACGAGAAGCCTTGGCTCTACTGAACAGCTGAACCCAGAGGTTCTCAAACTCTCTGGAAAAGAAGTTTTGTAACTCGCCTTGCAAAGACATAATACCTTTGGAGCAAGCATACGTCTGTAGGTATAAGGTGTTTGGCACTAGACTTTTAAGGGCATCTCTAAGCACGTACTACAGAAGAGATGAAAGGCCATTTTATTGTGGTTTCTCCTGCCAGAATGTGCTAACCAGGCTGGTTCTTCTCTTTGAGCTTGGGAATATTCTGACACATTTATGGAACAAGCCACAGCTTTTCTGTTTACTTGTGGAGTGCTGGCTCATTCCTTCCTTTTTCCTTTCCTTATTCTAAAAGGCAGGAGTCATGTTCTGTGTTCCCCTTGAATTAAGGATAATTTGGAGGGATGTCTACTACACAAAACAGACAGACTTTATCTGGCTGATTCCCTGTGTGACCCTGAACCTGTACTGACAGACAGCTGACATTACTGCTCTTCATTTTTTAAATCACCAGAAGGAATGACACGAAAAAATAGTCACAATTACTCTCATAATCCAGATCCCTTGTAGAAATTATCTGTCACTCTAAGAGCATTCTACACAACCCACTGCAGGAATGATTTCACCCATCCATTATAAAATTTTATTACCCAAAATTGCTTTTTATTGATATCATATGCAATTAAATGAGAGATGATGAACAACACAGTGATGTAGCCAATCACTGCGTATTTCACTCTATTTACTGTTTCACAATCGTTTCCAAGAAGCAAAGGATAAGCTTCATGCCATGTGTTTTATAGAAAGTTGCAGAAAATTTAAAAATATTCTCCACTTCTTACTAATTATGGCATGGCTCCATCATTCATTTTTGGTGCACAGGCTTTACACAATGCCTATCAACACTGTATTTCAGTAATATTTTATGCTAATTATGTAAGGATGGCCTTAGTTTAATTTTTTTTTTTTTAATACATTAAATTTCAGTGCTCAGACCAATTTTGGGAAACTGTCTAATTTACAGTATATTAGTTTTAGTATATTTTCTTTTCCATCTATAGATCTTACATTTTAAAAGGTCAATATCCAAATAATTCTAGATGGTTGGGAAGAGGAGGGAACAGGTCCTCAAATGAGAAAGAGCTGCTATCGTGCGGTTGTTTAAGAGGTTACTCTTAATAGGTTGGTAGTTCTGCTTTTTGGTTGCCAGTATATAACTCCCAGGGAAGTCAATGAATTCTACAGAAGACGGCTTAGGGCTCCGTGTTTTTAAAAGGATATTTCATTGCAGCCTTTCAGTACTTTAAGGGGGCCTACAATAAAGATGGGAAGGCACTCTTGACCAGGGAGTGGACAAGGAGTAATGGTTTTAAGCTGAAAGAGGGGAGATTTAGATATCAGGAAGAATTTTTTTCCTGTGAGGGTGGTGAGACACTGGCCCAGGTTGCCCAGAAAAGCTGTGGATGCCCCATCCCTGGAGGTGTCCAAGGCCAGGCTGGATGAGGCTTTGAGCAACCTGGGCTAGTGGGAGGTGTCCCTGCCCATGGCAGATGCTTGGAACTTGATCATTTCTAAGGTTACTTCCAGCCCAAACCATTCTAGGATTCTATGAATCATACTGCAATTGTTCTTTGAATTATTACTGCTAAATTTATTAATTTAAATTCCTTAATGGTCTTTTCTCAGATTTGCATGGCAAAAATTGCTTAGGTCCAAGCACTAGCACAAACTGTTGTGTTTTGGTTTAAAATTAGAAAGGGAAAAAAAATCACTATCACACAAAAAACTTAGCTTGCTGCTATTATGTTTACCTTTTAAAGCAGCATTTGTTTCATTCATGCAAGCCTAGATGAGAATTAAAATAGAAATAGATAAAAATCTCATCTTCACAACTTAAACTTCAGAATCCAGGCTATAGAAATTTTAATATTGCTGTCTGTCTACACCCATCCAACATACACACGGACTCCCTGGGCAGATTAGATACTGTTCTCAGATAGAGGCATAAACCCAGCATGATTCCACTCACTTTGCTGAAGTTGTTCCAGATTAATGCTGGTGTTACAGAAAACATGTTAGCCAGAAATATGTCACTGTAATTTTATGGTCAGTTAGCTCTGACATCTAATCATGTATCATGAGTGGGATTGCAAAGACATCCTTCCCTCCCCAATCATGATTTGCAGGAAACCAATCCAGGAGCTACACGAGGGAAAGTAAAAGAAAGACGAGGAGATTTGGGAGCAGAGATACTTGTGTCAGGGCCAGTGGCAGTAATTCAGCTGTCTAGTGTCTCAACTGGCACACAGCTGAAGAACAGAAGCCAAAATGGACACAACAAGCTTAAACTTAAATGCCTGCGCTCTTACTCTGTTATGTAACAAATCAAGGAGATTGCAACAGATCTTATTACTCCTCCCCAGCCCTGTGAAATGAGGGACTGACGTCAGCGCAATTAATCCTTCCTTTTCACCCCTTCCTCCTTCCTACCTCTGCCCCTGGATAAGCTCAAGTCCTTAAAGATCTGGGCAGTTGTATTTTAAGTAATTTATAGCCAACTTTGGAAACTACTCAGACTTTGTTGAGGAATAGCTTTCATAATTTTCACTGAAAATTTCTGGAAATAATGAACACCTTGGTGCTACATAATGATATCAAGTCTGGCCTGTAAAAAGCTTTTCCTGGAGAGATCTGCAACGTAATAACCACAAAGACATCTGTGTAACTACCAGTGATGGCAATAGCTGAACAGCACACAGACAAGGTGACAGAACTGTGGCTCTGGCTTAAACACTATGTGCAAGGAACCATTAAAACATTGTGAGGCAGAGAATTTATTGCAAAGTAACTGTTGCTTAGGGTTACCTTCTTTTATTGTTCAGACTAGGGTGAGCCATCACAAATGTCTGGGTTTCAGTCGCTTCTTTCACTGGCACTATATTGTTTGATGACAGGTTCCCTTCTTGTTGTTTGGGCTGTCCACACACTTTATCAACCTGCAATGAAAAGAAGGGAAAGGAAAACTGGGTTTGAATGGAGAAACTGATTTCCAAGTGCCCAAAGATCTGCTTTTTCCTTATGGTCAGCGTTTACTGAGAGAAGGTGCCCAGGTGAGAGAAAGAAAGGATTCTTCTTTCCAGGACCCAGAAACTAGTCCCCTGCACAAAAATGTCCAAGTTACGAGGCAAAGAGCACTGCTGCCAGAAAGCCAGCAGTCATGGATTTGTCACTGGATACCTGGACTATAGCACACCTGTAAACAGGCTGAAATAGTGACTGATGGAAGAGTTGCCAAATCAAACTTTTATTGAGAAATGTACCCGGAGTTTGAAGGTTCAAAATTTTGGTGGAACATCTGCCCTGCATACAGAGAGCAGAGTCTACTTGGTGTTTGACGGGGCTTGTAATTGGAAGACAACTGAGTCTTCCAGCCTTTAACTAGACAGTGTTCCCTTAAAACAATTAAATGAGCAAAAGTCAGCATCAACAACTCTCTGTCAATAAAGTCTCTTCTTGGACAAAACAGAATGAAAAGAGAATTTCCAGCCCTGGGAATCATCAGTGCCTTGGATCCTGGGTTCAGAACACTAACATTGCTCAGCCATTTGCCCTTATTGTCCTTCCTGAAGCCCCTCAGAAGGGATTTAATACAGACCACGGGAAAGCAAGCTTGTGTTTACCTTTTGTGCACGGTGGATCTGACACTGCTCCTGCATCCTGCCACATTTATTTGTTCTAACAGCTTTAAGTGACAATAGTAAGACAAACTTCTTCCCTTTCTAATCCGCAAATAAGTAATCTGCAATATTTTCACCTACACTTAAATCCTCAAGCAAACATGAAGAGAAGACAAAGGAAATCCTACTGTGAGCATGGTACTACCAGAGACCTTAATCACACAGAATCCATCATCCCACGCGGCACTGAATGCGGTATCCCTTCTTCAGTTTTCCATTATAAACAGGGTGAGACGGATTCTTGCTGCTCTGTGCATTATTACTGCATCTTTAAAACCCTTACTGAGTCACAACTGCCTATCTGCTGGATATTTCAGACCTCAGATGACTTCAAATAATTTTCTCTCTCCCTTTGCGTCACTATGTTGTATACTTCAGCCCAAGTACTGCAACTAGGTGATCTCTAATATCCCTTCCAACCCTAACTATTCTATGATTCTAAGCATAGGACAATTTTCTCTACCTTAGCTCATTTCCTCCAAGAAAACTACTGCTGTACAAAGCTAAGACACTTTCTTCTGAAAAAATATGCCAATTGAACATGAAAAGTCGGAAGCCGTATAGGCACAACACTTAACATCAACTTTAATTGAATGAGTTACAGCCTGGTCCAGTATAATACACTGTGAAGAACCTAAAACTGTAGCAACTGAATGAGAACATACTGGATTAATCCTGACATATCTCTCCAGCAGTCAGAGCAGGAGCCAGCTGCCTCACTCAACACCATGCACTGTGTATATTGTTCTGGTCTCACCAGGGACTAGCACAGCTTTGTTTTAAAACACAACTTTGTGAAATAAAATAATCTATTTCAGTCCCTTCTAAACTTCTGAAAAGAAAAACAGACTCTATGCAAATGAAAATATAAAACAAAAATCCCTTTTGAACCCCTTGGAGCTGGACAGAGGGTATAACACAGCTGGACCACATTCCCGCACAGGATGCTCTCCTGTGCTCCAGGTCTCCCAGCATGCAGATTCAAATTCCCAGCATAGGTTTCTGCAAAATCCATCTTAGATTACATCATGCCACTGAAGTTCTTATCTTCAAATTACATACACCGTAAATCTAGTCACTATGGATTTAAGACAGTTTTAACCAACTAACACCAGAGCGGTTTGGAAAAGCAATGTGGTTCTCATCTGTATAAGGGATGAAGAAATTCAAGCTTTTTTGTTTTTCCTGTGAGAAGTTTAAAGAGATTTAGAGTCATCATTTTTGTTGTGGATCAATAGTTTAAGCATCCAAATGAAAATACTCACCTTGTTTTGATTTGTATTTTTGATACCACGGAAATAAAACTACTCTTTAAATTACAGAAGTCTCAGCATGTTCTATGCCAAACCTTAACTCTAGGGTTTTCTTTTTAACCAGTAATAACAGTTTCCTGCATATCAAACAAAACCACAGTATTCTGAGGAAAATACATTTCTCAGTGGAAAATTTTAGCCAGTTCTACTCCATTAAAAAGAAATTTCTTAAGTGAAAGGGAAATTACATTCCCACTTGTCATGCAGATCTTTTAGTGCCTTTCTTCTCATTAATATGCCAAGAAACACACGCTCCATAATTTAAACTACTGCACAGACATTTTAATCTGAAGTGAGATTAACAAAATGGGATATACAACAATGGTATATTTGTAATATTAGTAGCTCTTAAGTGTCTCAGCTGAGATTCGGACTGTGTTTTACTGGGGAGAAAAAAAATAGCGTGAGGCAGTCCCTGTCAAACAGCATTTGACACTTGAACAAAAAATGATGGGGAACTGGTGCCGAGGCACAAAGTGGCTTTTCCAGTGTCACAGCAGGGGCCCATGGCAGACCACACCTCGTTTTGTGTGCAGTCAATGCTCTGGCCGCCCTGTGCAGCTCAGCCCAATGGCCTCAGCCCAGACCCAGCTCCCCTGGTTCCACCCGCAGGGGCCTGGGCCCTTCCAGCAGAGCCAGCCTGGCGGCTTGTCAGCTCTCTTTTCTTCCCTCCCCTTCCAGCATGAAGTTTCTTCAAGATTAGCGTGAATCCCCAATGTTCCTCCTTTCCACCATCTTTGGGGCAGCAAGGATGGAGGATTTCACCCCACCAAAGCTCCTGCAGTGCATACAGGCGGTTTGAAAACTTATGCCCACGAAGGTGGGAGTACCCTACACCTCTGGATGCAGAGACCAAACTCCCACCAAGAGACTGTGTCCCATGGCTCGAGTTATGTCTATTTGGCATATTTGTTTCAGATTTTGGATCAGTTAAACAGAAACTTGATTTTTTTAATTTTATTTTTTAATGTAGACTAACTTTGTCATTTTAATGAAATGTGTATTTTTCTGCAAAATAAGAGAAAAGGCTGAATATTACTGCCTAATTTATCAGTCACAAAGATGATGGCTAGAGGGAGAACACTCATGTACAGAAAACCATCTTAAACTGACAGCTAAGACATCTATGAAAAATGAATTAATGCTGTATACATTAAAAAGTACGAAGCATGCCAGTAGAAAAGAAAGTACTTTCTGGAACTGCAACATCTGTAAACTACTGCTGCAAATTACCTGGCTGTTAACAACAGTAAGAACATGGAAAGTTTCCCTCCCATCCTAAGGGCACCAGACAACTGCACTGTCAGTTTAACTCTGAGTTCATGAATCAAGCCTTACCACCCAAAGGAAAAATAGTGCCACTAAAAATGGTGATTGGGATTTTAAAGATTTATTTCCTTTTATGTGTGACCTGGTGCTTCCAAGTTATTTCTTAAACTGAAAGTGTAGACTAAGTGATTTTATTTACTTATTTTTAAACAGAAGCTAACATTCCTCTACTGACACTGGACATTAGAATTTGACACAATAAAAGATATTAAATATTGTGAAAAGAGAACTGCAAAACATTAGCTGCAAATAACTGAAGATAATGGTGATAAAATTTAACAAAAATTAGTAGAAACAGAAAATCCACTACTCTTTTCCTAAATTCAATTTTTAGTACTCAGAATAATTAGGAATCAACATAAAGAATGACTAAGCTTACTCATTTCTTTGATTTTTAAACTTAAATATAAGCCTGCCAATCTTAAATTACAAACTGACAGAAAATCATCCCTCATGAACTACAGTAACACTGAGGTCATTCCTCTTGTCTCTTTGATGATATTTAATCAAGTCTACCTTCTAACTGTAAACACCTATAGCTGAAAACTGGTATTCCTCATACTGCATTATGTTCTGAATTATAATAATGTTTCACAATTCTATACACTTTTCTTTGAATTAAAGCTTTTTTATTTACTTTTACACCAGTGATTCTTCTAAAATATCGGTCCTTCTAACAACCATAGCTACATTTCTTTTCCTGTGAACTTTCCTTTGTAATGAAATACAGTCATATATGTATATATGGATTATTTGACCTCTTACTATTTGTTCTTTAAAAGAATGACTATTTACAATTCTTGCAAAGCCTTAACAAAATAAATTCAAAAAATCTCATCCAAAATATTTTGAACTCTTGCAGTTTGAGCAACCTTAAACATCAAGGTCATATTTAATATACCTAATATAATCAAACAAGGGAAAAATGTCATGCCCTTCTGGATTCCAAGAGAATCTTATCTCTCTAAATCAGGAGACCTTTTCACTAGTTCAGAACAGTAATTTTCTTTAATTTTATAATGGGAAACCTAGTATTTTAAAAGACAAGATTCTTCTAGTGATTGGGCTTTGAGTTATTAATTAAAATGCTGACACATTTTCCAGCAGATTTCCACCTTGCTCCCTGATCTCTAACCCAATTCATCTGTGCAAAACCCCAGCATCTGGGTGAACACCTCTGACAGATTACACCCCTCAGCCCAGACTCCTGTTGGCTGTGCAGGCATCAGCACAGCCATACGCGGCACAACACATACTACAAACATATTTCTACTCAGAATTGGAGTTTGCTGGTTCCACCTGCCAGGTTTGAAGTGAGGGAAGCAAGAAACACTGAGTTACAGGAAAATCAGGTTTGAATTTTCAGACTTGCATGTTCACCATGAAATCTCGTTTCCTTTGGGTCATAGTCTTATTACTTGATTATTGATGGCACAAGACAACAACAAATATCCTTCTTGTCATTTTCTGTAAGCCACCAACCAAAGCTCATTATGTAAATAGAGAATCCTCTCCATTGGAGTGGCTGTCTTATTACTATACTATAGTTGCAAAATGCTCATTTCCAATGCTCGGAAGATGAGAGGGAGCACATTTGGTAAGATGTAAGCCAGGGCTTACTGGTCATTGCCCCTGTCTATATCTTATTGAACAGAATCTTACACTCAATGAAGAGGCAATAAGGAGAGAATAAAAAAGATCACGAGGAATCACGAGGACCACGAGGCCTGTATCTAGTGGAGTCCCCCAGGGTTCAGTATTGGGACCGATACTATTCAATATATTCATCAACGACTTGGATGAGGGAGTAGAGTGCACCCTCAGCAAGTTTGCTGATGACACGAAACTGGGAGGAGTGGCTGACGTGCCAGAAGGCTGTGCTGCCATTCAGCGAGACCTAGACAGGCTGGAGATTTGGGCGGGAAAAAATCTAATGCAATTTAACAAGAGCAAGTGTAGAGTCTTGCATCTGGGCAAGAACAACTCCAGGTACCAGTACAAGTTGGGTACTGAGCTGTTGGAGAGTAGTGTAGGGGAGAGGGACCTGGGGGTCCTGGTGGACAGCAGGATGACCATGAGCCAGCACTGTGCCCTCGTGGCCAAGAAGGCCAATGGCATCCTGGGGTGTATCAGAAGGGGGGTGGTCAGTAGGTCAAGAGAGGTTCTCCTCCCCCTCTACTCTGCCCTGGTGAGACTGCATCTGGAATATTGTGTCCAGTTCTGGGCCCCTCAGTTCAAGAGGGACAGGGAACTGCTGGAGAGAGTCCAGCGCAGAGCCACAAAGATGATGAAGGGAATGGAGCATCTCCCTTATAATTCAAAGCATCTCCCTTATAT